ATATTCAGGGAAAAAAAATATATATAGTTGCTCGACTTCAGGGCAATTATATCTGCAAATTGGGATTTTTATTTCTTTCTGTTTGAAAGTTTTACATATACCAAAAATGTCTTTGCCATTTACTATCGTTGGTGGTGATAAATTTTCAATTTTTTTAATGTATGTAATAATATTGGTGGTCATTTAGTATCATCATCATCAATAAATTATGATCAATTTTTTTCAAAAAAATTTCAAAATATTCTTTTTTTTCTTTGCCAACGCCATCGTTTGAATCACAAAAAAGAAAAGAAAAAATGATTTTTTCTTTTTTATCAACCATCAAAAGTAAAGAAAAATATTGATGATGATCAATAAACATGAAATCTTCACTATCTTGTTGTTGTTGTACTTCAATTTTTGTTTCGTTTCGTCTTTTATTTTTATCTAACCGATGAAATCTTTATTAGAGGTAAATGTTGTTCATCGTTTAGTTGTACTCATTGGTTCAGGATTTTTTTCTTCATCTTCTTCTTCTTCTCTCGATTCAATAATGAAAATATAATCATGTTGACGTCACGAATTTTTAATGAAGCTTGTTTGTGTGTGTGTGTGTGTGTTTTTTTTTTTTTTTTTTTTTTTTTTTTTTTANTCTTCTTCTTCTCTCGATTCAATAATGAAATATAATCATGTTGACGTCACGAATTTTTAATGAAGCTTGTTTGTGTGTGTGTGTGTGTGTTTTTTTTTTTTTTTTTTTTTTTTTTTTTTTTTTTTTTTTTTTAAAGGAGCGTAACTCCAAAATTTTATTTAATATTATAAGGGAAAATATAGAAGAAATTACAAATTGAATGAAGTAGAAAATTATTTACAAATGTGTGTTAGTGTTTATGTTGAATCAGATATGGTGTGTGTGTGTGTGTGGCAACAAGTTACTATAAGAATTTTTTTGTTGTTGAAAAGTTTCTTAAATTCATGAATTGAATCCAAAATGAACAATTTTTTTCTGAATATTTTATCACTTTGTTGAATTTTTGTTGTTGTTATCGTTGTGTTTTGGTTGTTTCGGTTATTAATTATTAAAATTGTTATGATTTTTTTTCTGTTTGTTTTAATGGTAAAAGAAAAAAACATGTTTTTTTTCTTTGATTTTTAACTTTTTTTTTAAAAAAATTCAAACGAATTTATCATTTAATTATCTGTTGATAGGAAAAAAAATCAATATTGTTTTTTAGTGAAAATATGAATTTACATAGAATCAGAATTAATTAATTTGTTGTTTTTTTTAATGTTTTCTTTGGAATTGATTTCTTTTCGATTTCAAAAAATATTGATTATGAAAAATATTCGTAATTAAGTTGTTTGTATATAGGATTGTCCTTGATCTTATCTTTTAATAATTTTCATTATAGAATTGAATTATTTGACAAAAAAAAAGTGGGAAAAGAATCGATTCATGGGCGGTTCATGAATGCAGGATAAATTCTCAAGGTTAACACATTTAAATTCTGTACTAATTTTTCATTTTTTTTTGGTACTTTCAAATTTTCATTCCAATTACATCAACGAATGATCACGTTTTTTATGCATGACAACAAAAAAAAAGACTACATTCTTTATAAATTTTTCAACATCAAAATTTGATTTTATTCTGTTTGGATTTAACACATATAACCAACTGCAGGTGGTTTCAAACATTTCATTTTATTTTGTTTTTTTTTTTACTAATTCTAATGTTTATTGAATATTTTGAATAAATTTGATTTCATATTGATTTCATTCTCTTGTGTTTGAATATTGCAAAATTTAACTGTTTTTTCAAATTTAACGAATGACGTTATTTTTTCAATATAAATGATATTGTAATAATAATAAATTGAATAATAATTGGAAAAACAAAATGATTACAATATTGACAACTTTTATGTAACATTTACTAGCTGTAATTTTCTTGTTGTTGTTGTTGTCGACGTTATTCTTTATTTATTGATTTTATTTTTTTTTCTAAATTCAGTACATCCGTGATTATGTCATTGCGTTTCTCTTGTTGTTCTCCCGGTACAACCTACCAATCTTAAAACTTTAATCATTCATTACAATCGATGGTACCTTTGGATATTGATTTATTAATTGTTTTTTCTAATGAAATAATGGCTATTTTATCGTCCGTTTTTTTTTCTTACAATAATTTTTTTTGACGTTTGTTACTGATAAAAATCAATAATCTTTGATTGATTTTTGCAACCGTTTGACAACGTTGTTCATTTATTTGTGTGTGTGTGTTTTTGGACTCCCTACCGAACATTTTTTGAATTTTAAAAAAGAAAATCTAATCCTTTTCGTTCCAAAGATTCTTTTCGAACAAAAATTGATAAAATCAAAGATTACTCACCTCAGTAATTGGAAAAAAAATTCTTCAACATGAATTTCACGATTTTTTTCTAATACTTTGATTATTCTTTTGATATGCATGCACTTGATTTATTTCCAATCTGAAATTTCCTTTATTTTTTCTTCGAAAAACAATTTCACTATCATTATCCAATGTGTTTTTTCCTTCATTTTTTTTCTTATCAAATATTTGGTTGTTGTAGTGGCAATTTTTTTTCTTCTTCGTTTTCCAATTCGATTTGATTGCATATTTCAACTACCACTATCATTAATGTTACTGTTTCGTAAATGATATTCTTTTTAATCTGCATGTGTATGTGTGTGTGTAAGGTATCGATTATGTTGATGATCATTTTTTTTTTGTAAACCTTTACTTTTTATTTATGTTTGTTTTTTTCTGGTTTGAATTCGTATGATGATGATGATGATGACGATGATGATGCGGCAGCGGCGGATGATGATGTTATATTATCCATGTGATTAGGAGAAAGAGTGAAAGAAAGAAAAAAATGAATATATTAATGTGCGTTTAGACGTCATACCCTAAAAACGGATGAGAAAAAAATGTAAAGAAAATTCAAAATAAAATTGATTATCAATGAAAAATAATGAAATTCGTATTTTGAAAATCAACAAAATATGTCTTTCATCATTTTGATTATCATATTAGAAATGGTAATTTGAGCATGCGTGTTTTATTTTTCATTCTTTAACTTTCTCTTGGTTTCTTTCTTTTTTCTAATTGAATATTTCTTCATTTAATAATTTACAACAAAGAAAACAAAATTATTATTGTTGATCGGTTTTTTTTGTCTCGTTAACGTTTCAGCCATTTTGATAATTTGTTGTTGTTGTTGTATTTTCTTCTTTAGCATCTTGTTATTGAAAAGTTTTTTTTTGTTTCATTGTAGTGTGATGGTCATCGCCAACATTATCATAGATCAATTGGAGCAACGAAATTTTCAAAAAAAAACAGAAACAAAAAATGAATTTGTTTTAAATTAATGGTGTCATCATCATCATCAATATTTGATTGATATTTGATCTCTCTTTGTCGTTTTTTGATTTACTTTTAGATTTATAATCCAGTTCTATCCAATTGGTCTATGTCAATGATTTTTTGTTTTTTGTTTGATGTGATTGTTGAATGGTGACAACGACAACACAAGGATGACGACTACAACAAAAACGTTGATTATGATGATGATGATAATTATGACTGCGACAACAACAGCACCCGCTATCGTAGAGATACTCTTCATTTTTTTCAACAAAAAAAATATCAATCTATTCGATTGATTTGATTTGATTTGATTTCGATGATAATTTTTTTTCTTTGCTCGCTTAAATAAATATATGTGTGTGTTTGCTATAAGCAAATGGACTAACCGACATTATCGAACCTAACCAACAACAACAACAAAAAATTTTGCCGCTAATTTATCTTTTTCTTTCTTTCGCTTTCTCGATATCATCGTCATCATCATAATCATAGTGGACAAATGGATCATAGAAGAATTTTCTCGGTCCATTTCCATTATTAGTTTTTATTTGTGAAAAGCGACAACCAGAAAAAAAAATCCAATTAATTATTGAAATTTTTTTTTAAAATTTCAATTAAAAATTGTGCCTCTAATATTAATGCTGGTGAACCTATTTCCGTTTAGCATCATCATCAAAATTGATAATAATTTTCTTCACATTATTATATAGTGATGGTGAAACAAATTGATAATTTAACAATCATTTTTTATTAATCATCATCATTTTAAATGTTTTTTTGGATAGATTTGTTAATTTAATGATTAATTAATCTTTGTTTTGTTATTGTTTTATAAAAAAAAATTACAATTTTTTCCAATTAATCCAAATGATAAACCTGTTGATCATTGTGTTGACAAGTGTTAAAATTTGTTGTTGTTTTCTAATAATAATAATTATCGATCATTTTTATAAACGTGTGCATCTTGAGTGCTAATGTTACAAATAATTTACAAGAGATTTTTCCCCTTTGGTGTTAGTGTTAATTAATAAATGTGGAAAAGGATTTTTTTGATTATAATTAAATCAAAATGATTATAACGTTATGATAAAAAATCAATCCACTTTTGTGCTACCGTGTGTTTTTTGTTTTTGTTTGTTATATAATAATTCCAATTATAAACTTGTAAATTTATAAAAAGAAATGTAACGTTCCAACAATTTTCTATACTTTCATACTTGATAATCAGTGTTTGATAGTAATTTATTTAAAATTTATAATGAGAAAATTATATGATCAAAGTAGTAACATCAATTAAATTGATTTAAAAAAAAAATCAAATAAGTGGTTTTCAATTTGGAATAAAAAACTTGAGATTTTAACTTACGATTTGATGTGACAGATACGAATGCAAAAAATAATACAATATCTTTGTTCTGTGTGATAACTCAACAATTTTAAATTGATTAATAATTTTAAAATTTCAAATTCAATTGACCTTTTGTCCTGGTTATTATTATTATCATCATCCAGAAGCCAAAAAATCCGGTTCATCAAATTGATTATTATTATTTTTTCCTATCAAAAAAAAAAGCCATGGATATAAGCAGATTTCCATCATCATCATCATCACAATTGAACGTTTATAATGAATCACATCATCATCATCATCAAATGATAATGAATGATCGATTCCAAGAATCATCATACACATCATCATCACCAACAATGATGATGGATAAAACAATTCCTATGAATTTTACATCTACATCAGCAACACCAGTATCATCATCAACATCATCATCATCGTCGTCGTCCGCTTTAATAATGAACGACAATAATAATTTAATTAATAAAAATGATGATAAATTTGAAATTGTTTCAAATTTCGATAATATAATGTATGTTTGTTTGTGTGTGTGTGTATTGGATATGAAACAAAAAATCTTTGAATTGATGATCTAAATCCTGTTCATTTTTTTATTGATAATCAAAAAAATGACATTTTAATTTTTAAACAAACAAACAAGCGAACCAAAACAGGATTTCATTTGAATTCAAGAATGCAGATGCTGCATTAAAAAAAACATTGTTATTTTTTTCTATTGTTGTTGTTCGAATGCCGTAAACAATTCCATTTAAATTCAATATTGGAACGAAAAGATCATTTGATTTAGAAGGAAAAAATTGTTTGATTGCATTTCCTATTCCTTTGTTTTACTCCCCTAACATTATGAACTTATCTGTATTTTGTTTTTTTCTTTGTTTAAAAACTTTAAAAAAAAATTCAAAAACAAACAAAATAGCTGGGAAATCCTTTTACATACGGCCCTGATTTGAGAATGATGAAACTGTAGTGTAATTTTTTTTTCATTACAAAAAGAAAAAAGGATCACCGACCTTCATAATTATCCTCCAATTTTTTTCCGTATTTCAATTTCAATGATTTTATATTTTTGTAAAAAAAAATTTGAATCCAATTTTCAATATTTAATCGATAATTTTGATGATAAAACGGAAATAATCGATCATCGATTAGTCTCTATTAATTTTATTAATTACAAAATTCAGATCCTTGAGCTTGATTGTGATTTGTTTTGCAAAAATTAAAAAAATACCGGATATAAAAGAGTTATCATTTTATTCAGTATTTAAATAGTATCAATAAATTAACTGATGGCTAGATTAAAATTACAAAACAAATTATAATGAAGAAATATCCCCAAAAAATATTCACAAATTGAGGTCATCATCATTGTTGTTTTGCTAATAATTCAAATGATCTAGGTTATTTCAAAATATGATGCAGATATTTTTCAAAATTTCACGTATTCAATTTGTTTTTTTGAACGTACAGTGCATTGATGTTGTTTATTATTGATTAATTGATCGTCATCGATGTGAAGGTCTCTTCTGTGATTCTCTTTTTGGTTTCGTTCGATCAAATCAAATGTTGATCATTTTATCGAATGTAATTTTTCCTATTTTTTCAACAGAAATTTTGAAAATCATTTTGATGAAAACTTTGACCTCTGTTTTGAACTTTTATCTCTCTCTCTCTCTCTCTCTCTCTCTCTCTCTCTCTCTCGTGCATCTTGAGTG